CAAGTATTAATAAATATGTCCTCTTTTTGTTTATTTCTCTTAGATATGCATTGGGTCTTTCGAATTAAAAAGAATCCTGATGGCTCCATTGAGAGATATAAAGCAAGGCTCGTTGCTAAGGGATTTCACCAAAAGGAAGGTCTTGACTACACAGAAACTTTTAGTCCAGTTGCAAAGCCAGTTACTATCAGACTCTTGTTATCTTTTGCTGTCCAATTTAACTGGTTTCTTAATCAACTGGACATCAGCAATGCTTTTCTGCATGGTGACTTACACGAGGATGTATTCATGGTTCAACCTCCTGGTTTTCAGGATCCCAGCAGGCCTACTCATGTGTGCAAGCTCAGAAAATCTCTCTACGGCCTTAAACAAGCTCCTAGAGCTTGGTTTGACAAATTATTTCAAGCTCTTCTATCTCTGGGATTTAGTCAATCATCCTCTGATGCTTCTTTATTTGTTCTTCATGCTCCAACTCTGGTTATAGTTCTTGTCTATGTTGATGATATTCTGGTAAGTGGTCCTGATGCTACCATTTGCAATCAGTTCATAGCCAAGTTGAGCACTTTATTTCCTGTCAAAGATCTAGGTCCCTTGCATTACTTTCTGGGTCTAGAAGTTCATCGAACCACAGACACTCTGATCCTTCACCAAAACAAGTATCTGCTTGATCTGTTACAGAAATCAAATATGACTGGTGCAAAACCCTGATGCACTCCACTTAGCTCTACCAAGCTAGATCACAGTGGGGAATTACTTGCTAATCCTACTGAATACAGATCCCTTGTCGGTGCTCTTCAATACTTAACTTGGACAAGACCTGACATTTCCTTTGCAGTAAATCAAATCTGTCAGTTTATGCATACACCTACTGTTATTCACATGCAAGCAGCCAAACGTATATTGCGTTTTCTCAAAGGAACTATTACTCATGGTCTCTTGTTTCGGAAAAGCTCACTGCATCTGTCAGCCTACTCGGATGCCGATTGGGCTGGTTGTTCTTATGACCGAAGATCCACTGGTGGTTCATGTGTTTTTCTGGGTACCAACTTAGTTAGCTGGAGTGCCAAGAAACAATCAACCGTAGCCCGATCCTCTACTGAAGCTGAGTACAGGTCCTTAGCTCACACTGCTGCAGAGGTTACTTGGATTTGCAAGGTGCTCATAGACTTTGGTTTTCCTATTTCTCACAAACCTACTCTCTGGTGTGATAATATCTCTGCTATATCTCTTGCCTCTAATCTTGTATTTCATGCTCGTACTAAGCATGTCGAGATTGATTATCATTATATTCGTGAGTTAGTGCTTGCACATCTGGTTGATGTTAAATATGTGTGCAGTCAGTCTCAAATTGCAGATATCCATACCAAAGCCTTGTCTAAAACCAGATTCCAGTTTCTGCAGTCCAAGCTTTCACTTGGAATCCTTGATTCTTCCAAGTTTGGCTTGAGGGGGTGTAAAGATGAAGATGATATCTCATAACTAAAGTTGGTTGGTTATTAGTTCAGTCTGTTATAAGTTTGTTACTCATGTAATTAGTTTGTTTTCTGTGGTTGGTTTGTAAATAGTCGAAAGGCTATATATATGTAATTGTATTAATTCTTTTGTTAATTAATGAGACATAACAGATCTCTTAATTCTTGAGAAACCTTTCTCTCTTTTCTCTTCTTCTCTCTCTCTCTCTTTTACAATACCACAGAGTTTCTACACTTATTGGTCTCAGATTTACTTGTGTATTAATTTTTATTTAATTTTTTAAAAAAAGTAAAATTGGGCTAGTGATTCTTTAAAAGCCCTCCTGAATTCTTCTTGAGAACCTTTCACCTTTGCAGGATTACGTGCTTGGTACAAATTGGATTCGGCTTAGCTGGAAGCTCAAAACCAGCCCATCGAAGAAGATGCTCAAGTTCTGTAAAATAAGAGGATTCCACCCTAAGATTTGCTCAATTCACCCAAAGCTAATATTATGGTTTGCCTCCACAGAAGCTGTTGTGGAAAAGCCAATCAAAGGAGTGAAACTCTCCATTCCCAGCCGTGGCTCGATTTTTCCTTTTGTTTTGTTTAATATATATATATATATATATATATATATATTTTAACCATGAACTTAATTTTTTATAGGTTTGTTTTGAAATATTCAAAATTTGGGCTGGGCACATATGTAGCTCCACATAAATAACTGTTCAAATCAAGCCAACCCAATCTTGTAAAATCACATTGTAAATTGGGCTTGTACGTAGAGAGCAACCCCGCAAGAGGAATGAATTTTGTTCTTTATTTTCCTGGACTCTGAGGAACCAAAAGAGTGCTGCTATTTCCACCAACCTGTCCTATTTTCCCATTCACCTTATTTTCAAAATTTTAAAGATAAATTTACTTCTTTGTAGAATGACTTATGAGAACAAATCTCTCAATCTCTCTCACACGCACCCACACCCATATTTTCTTTTTCTTTTTCTTTTTCTTTTTGTTCAAAATCCACACCCATCTTCATACCCAACCCACCAAACAAAACGAAATCAACATCTTTCTCTCCCTGAGTTCTTCAAAAATTAGGAATCAGAAGAAAACCTCAACTTACAAACTCATAACCCCAATTTTATTTTCAATCACACATAATCCAATTGTTTTTCTTTCTTCTCTAACTCTAAAGCTCAAGTAGTCCCATAATTACATCGACTTTGAGCTTTTGGGCAACCCTAAAACTGATAGAAACTCATGGCCATTTCCTTTTTTTTCCTTTGTCTCTTTCTTTCCTTTTAATTTCAAACTCAAATAACACCTCTATTGCAATCTCTGAAATTAAAAATAAAATAAAGCAAATGTGTTTTTATTTTCTGGAACAGATAGAGTAATCAGTGTGAGTTTTTTTTTTTTTTTTTTTTTGGGGTGGGTGATAGGAAGGGGAGTGTTTTTTTCATTGGCAGTAGAAGGAGAGTTTTTCTTTGGTTGAAGATGGAGCGTTAAATGTTTGTAAGGTCATGGTGTTGACTGTTGGGTTTTCGCCAGAGGAGAAGGTTGGGGTGGGGCACTGCGATTGGGGTGGGGATAGGCAATTTAAAGAATTCTTTTTATAAATTTTTTTTTTATTGTAATAGCAAATATGGAAATAGAATTAAAGGGTATTTTAGGAATAATGGTGGGTGGAAAGATAGGTTTGTGTTTATTCAAATTTATAGGGTGGGTGAGAAAATAAGGTGGGTGGGGAAATAGAACGAGGTGGTAGAAATAGCAGCACTCAACTTTAAATAAACCAATGAGACGAATATGGAAGTACAAAGCATCTCCAAGTGAAGCGACAAATGAGTAGGCAAACCTCATTTGCCTTTGACACATCAGTATTTTCATGCTCCAAGGGAATATGCAAATAAGTAGGCAAAGTATACATGCTCTCTCCAACAAGGCAATATTGCCTACTTCAAAATGAAGAAGTATATTGGGTCTCATTTGCTTTTTATAATAAAATACCATCGCCCACTTTCTCACATACTTTTTATAAAATATAATAGTAAATATAAAAGATAAAGGGAAGAAAGAGTCTACTTTCTGAAAAAATAATAGCAGAAAAAAATATTACAAACTTGCCGGAGAACAAAGAGAACAATAATCATGCCTAGATATAGTCCAATACTAAGAAAATACTTTTTTAAGAAAACAGATTCATGAAAGAAATTCCAACGAGGCATATACATCTTAAAAGTATTCATGTTTATTATGAATATTGCTGTCAACTTAAGAGAATATTCTTTAGATTTCTATCGTCTCCACATTCCTTTTATAACCATGATTTATTGTTCTATAAAGGGCCATATATCTCTCATAGAATTTCCAAATTATGGCTTATATTACTTACCTGATTTTATGAGGATTTTTTTGGACAATTTAGGATTGCTTGGTGTACAATTTGTTCTAATTACAAGTTTTAAGCCGAGCGTTTTTAGACAATTTAGGATTGCTTGGCTTGGCAGCAGAGTAATCTTGTTCCACAAGTAAAAGATCTTGTAGAGAAGGCGGAGGGTTTTCTTTTTAAGGGTGTATAAAAGCCCCCTTCTCGTTCCACCTCCATTCACAACAACCATTACAACAACATCAAAACTCTAAGCACAGACCCTCTGTGGTTACGACGACAATGGACCTCAAAGAATCAGTACGCAACCAAACTGACGTGGGCCTCAGAATGACGAGGCACCTGTTTCTAGCTGAAGCCAAGGGGCAGAACATGGTGTTCTCGCCGCTCTCCATCCATGTTGTGTTGAGTATGATAGCAGCTAGCACAAAGGGTCCAACCCAAGACGAGTTACTCTCTTCCCTAAAGTCCATGTCCACCGGAGAACTCAACTCCCTCGCCTCCAATCTCCTCCCTTTCGTGTTTGCTGACGGCTCCCCCAGCGGCGGTCCCTGCCTGTCCTTCGGGAATGGCGTTTGGGTCGACGAGTCTCTCCCTCTCAAACCCTCTTTCAAAGAGGTGGTGGATACTTTTTACAAAGCGGCTCAAAAGCATGTCGATTTCCAGAACAAGGCTGAAGAAGCAAGAGCTGAAGTCAACTCATGGGCTGAAAAGCAGACTAAGGGTGTTATTAGAGAAGTTCTTCCTCCTCAGGCAGTTGACAGCTCAACAAGGGTCATCTTTGCAAATGCATTATACTTCAAAGGAACTTGGGATGATGACCCGTTTCTGTACTCAAAAACAAAGGACTATGTCTTCCACCTTCTCAATGGGAGATCAATAATAGAGGCACCCTTCATGACTATCTACAAGAGGCAGTTTATAAGTGCCTTTGACGGCTTCAAAGTCTTAAAACTTCCATACAAACAAGCATATGGTGAGAAGAGGCGTTTTTGCATGTGCTTGTTTCTTCCAGATGAAAAAGATGGTCTGCCAGCTCTGGTTGAGAGAGTTTGTTCTGAGCCAGGCTTCTTAGATCGCCATATTCCATATTTCAAAGATGAAGTGGGTATCGTCAAAATCCCAAAGTTTAAGATTACTTCTTGGTTTGAAGTTTGGGGCATTCTCGAGCAGTTAGGTTTGAAGCTTCCTTTCCACTTGACAGAGATGGTGGAAGCGCCTCCGGGTCAGGACCTTTTTGTTCCCAAAATGCTCCATAAAGCCGTCATCGAAGTTAATGAAGAAGGAACGGAAGCTGCCGCTGTTACAGTGACCAGTGCGAGCTTGTCGTTGGCACCATGTAAGCCTAGGAAGACGGTAGACTTTGTGGCAGATCACCCATTCCTATTTTTGATCAGAGAGGAAATGACTGGAGCGGTGTTGTTCATTGGGCAGCTGCTCAATCCTCTTCAAGGCTGATTATACTAGACAAGTATTAATAAATATGTCCTCTTTTTTGTTTATGTTTCATTGGATTAAAATTTTGATCAGTCAATTCAGTTAAGATTTTTATTTAATTATCTCTGTCTTCGATTTGAGGTGGTTTCAAGGGAGTCTTAAATTTGGAATGGGATTTGGTGTATACTTTGGGTCAAGTTCACATGCAATTTCATCTCTCACTTTTACGAGTTTAAAACTTTCAAGACTTAATTTTCTATACTTTTTAGATGTTGTTGATGAGCCCCATAGCCATATATAGGAAGCTTCATCAACAACAAAAAGCCAAAGTGCTGGGCTAACTAGCTTTTTCTTCCTCTATAATATTCAATGTATTATTAACAGCTTAGCTTGCAAAAATTAAATAAGAGTACGATTACTTCATTTATAATTCAATTTCCAAATTTCTTTTTGGGTAAATGCTTTAGTCTCTAAATTAAAATTATTTTTTTCTCTAGCGCATTAATTTAAATAATTCAAAAATTAAGGAAACAAATTGATTGACCTTATCAAACAAAAAAGGAAACGGATTTGGAGAAAACCTTGAAAAATCTCCAAAGCCATACGGGGTAAACTTGTAATTTTACAAAATAAATCGTAAAAATAATAAACGAACCCATGTGAGAGAGAGAGAGAGAGAGAGAGAGAGAGAGAGAGAGAGAGAGAGAGAGAGAGAGATGAGATGGGT